CAGCGTTGATACAAGGGTCAGATCCCAGTTCATTAATGTCAGGGTGTGGGGCCATAGATGTGGACAGACCAAACTCACGGGTACAGCGTTGATAGAAGGGTCAGATCCCAGTTCATTAATGTCCGTGTGGTGGGTGGGGCCATAGATGTGGACAAGTGGACAGACCAAACTCACGGGTACAGCGTTGATACAAGGGTCAGATCCCAGCTCAGTAATGTCCGTGTGGTGGGTGGGGCCATAGATGTGTATTCAAGACTTTTAATTAGCTTCAGTGTATAATTAATTGGTTTACATTAGTTACCAAAACTAATTCTGCTCTCTACCGAGCTACAACTATTTCACAGAACATGTGGGTTTTTTTTACTACTCTAATGGATCTATTCATTAGAGATATCATTGATTATGAAATAACTGCTGCAACATAGAGGCCTATTACTGGCTAGAATGTTTTTAATTAACTATTTCAATAGACACGTAAGCCCTTGGGCGCATTTTGCCTTTGATTGGGGGGGGGGGGGGCTAAATGTGTATAACTAGAGCAAATATTAGATATGTGTAGATCTCAACTTATATAAAATATAAAAATTACAAAAACAAAACTGTAAATTACATAGGCCTACATTGTTTTCCACACATAAAAAATGTCCAGCAAATCCCTGGGTCCGTCTAAAAATTAGACAATTTGGATATATAAATAAGAAAAGTAAATTACGATACAAAGAAAGAGAATTGCTAGGTGTTAAGTGGTTGGAGTAGCCTAGCATTATAAAATACGTTGACCCAAGGTAAAAAGAGAATTGGTCAACTCAACCAGAGAGCAAATGGAAGTAACGGCCACAATAGTATGGTCCAAGTCAATATCGTCACAAGCCCGGGGGGGAGGGAGGGGGGTGTCCGGGCCGGGCCGCACCGGGTGACACCTTTTAAGGTATGACACCAAATCGAAACATGTACACGCAATCTTTTATCCAGGTAGAATTATAAAATAGCCGGAGAGAGAGGTGTGACCAAACCGAAAATACAAAATTGTTGGAGGGATGGGATGACTCTCTCACCTCACCAGGTAAACATATCCAACGGGTCAACCAACTAGTCACTGTCACACTGACCATCAACCAACTAGTCACACTGTCACACTGAGCATCAACCAACTAGTCACAGTGTCACACTGAGCATCAACCAATTAGTCACAGTGTCACACTGAGCATCAACCAACAAGTCACAGTGTCACACTGAGCATCAACCAACAAGTCACAGTGTCACACTGAGCATCAACCAACTAGTCACACTGTCACACTGAGCATCAACCAACTAGTCACACTGTCACACTGAGCATCAACCAACAAGTTACAGTGTCACACTGGCCATCAACTAACTAGTCACAGTGTCACACTGAGCATCAACCAACTAGTCACAGTGTCACACTGAGCATCAACCAACTAGTCACACTGTCACACTGAGCATCAACCAACTAGTCACAGTGTCACACTGACCATCAACCAACTAGTCACAGTGTCACACTGAGCATCATCCAACTAGTCACACTGTCACACTGAGCATCAACCAACAAGTCACAGTGTCACACTGAGCATCAACCAACTAGTCACACTGTCACACTGAGCATCAACCAACTAGTCACAGTGTCACACTGAGCATCAACCAACAAGTCACAGTGTCACACTGAGCATCAACCAACAAGTCACAGTGTCACACTGAGCATCAACCAACTAGTCACAGTGTCACACTGAGCATCAACCAACTAGTCACAGTGTCACACTGACCATCAACCAACTAGTCACAGTGTCACACTGTCTATCCACAAACAAGTCACAGTGTCACACTGAGCATTAACCAACTAGTCACAGTGTCACACTGAGCATCAACCAACTAGTCAGTGTCACACTGAGCATCGACCAACTAGTCACAGTGTCACACTGAGCATCAACCAACAAGTTACAGTGTCACACTGGCCATCAACTAACTAGTCACAGTGTCACACTGAGCATCAACCAGCTAGTCACAGTGTCACACTGGCCATCAACCAACTAGTCACAGTGTCACACTGAGCATCAACCAACTAGTCACAGTGTCACACTGAGCATCAACCAACTAGTCACAGTGTCACACTGAGCATCAATCAAACAAGTCACAGTGTCACACTGAGCATCAACCAACTAGTCACAGTGTCACACTGAGCATCAACCAACTAGTCACAGTGTCACACTGAGCATCAACCAACAAGTCACAGTGTCACACTGAGCATCAACCAACAAGTAACAGTGTCACACTGAGCATCAACCAACAAGTCACAGTGTCACACTGGCCATCAACTAACTAGTCACAGTGTCACACTGAGCATCAATCAACTAGTCACAGTGTCACACTGAGCATCAATCAACTAGTCACAGTGTCACATTAACCATCAACCAACAAGTCACAGTGTCACACTGAGCATCAACCAACAAGTTACAGTGTCACACTGGCCATCAACTAACTAGTCACAGTGTCACACTGAGCATCAACCAACTAGTCACAGTGTCACACTGAGCATCAACCAAAAAGTCACAAATCGTGTCACTTTGTTGCTGAAAAAAAACATCACTATCAACGCAGTCCTTTTTTTCCCTACATCGACCTTGACATTTGTGGGCGGTAAAAGGTATGGTTTGAAGGGGGAGGAGTACTCTATTTATAGACTATTCTATTTGTCGTTAGAACAATGTACCTGTCTGTCAGCTGTGCGCGTGCTAAAAATAGCCGACCGTCGGGGTTACCGCCGCGGGTTATGACAGTCCTACACTACCTGAATCAAAAACCAATAGGCTGCAAGCACAGGGGAGAAAGTGGTGGTGGGGTGGGGGGTACGGGCAGTGTTTGCATTCGCTGTCACCCACTCATCCCCACAACAAATACATATGATGAATTGTTCATAAGCACGCATCAGTGGCGTATGTTTGTATGTGCTCATTATTGCTCCCTCCATTACTGAGAATGAAGTCGGAACACATTACTTGGTAGAAAGGGAGGATAGGCCTATGTTATGTTGTAATGTTTGGTACAGACGTTCAAAACAATATATCATGTTGCGTGGTATTGGCATCCATATACTAACTGAAACCTGACCACGCCCCTAACCCTCTCAACGTGAATACACTGTAAGCAGTGCTCAAATGACATTGAGAAAACTGAAAACTTTTATATCTGCAAAACTGTGGAGAAATATTCTTAGCACAGCACAAACTTAATTGGGATCTTAAACACTACATGTTACATAACAAGCAAAATCAAACACAAAACATGTGGGTTCATCCAGTATAACATTATATAACATCTCTGCTGATCAACACACCATGTCAAACATTAAAACAGAAAAAAGGTAGTCGAAGGATTGAAAAAAATGGAATTAAGTTGTTTTTTTAATTGAAAACAGACCTACAAGCCAATTTCCTTTCATAAACAACTCTTCATGGAATAGATAATGCTTAAAATAATTCAAGTGTGATATTGACAAGGTTAAAGAAATAAAACTTTACACACTAAGCAAGAAAAAAAAAATCAAGTAGGTTTTATAGGCTATAAAAACAAGGAACAGTAATTTATGGCCAACAGAAAACAAACTTGACTTCTATTACATTTAAATTTAGCATTACAGTGATGTGTGTACTATAGGTTTGACAATGTTTTCTTCAAACAGTAAATGAAATGTCTTAACCAAAAGCAATGTATTGTATTAATGAGCTGAAGAATGAGTCATGTATTTGTTATGAATGACCATGGTGAAGATGCTTGTATGAGAAGTTGATACAGAATGCAGGCAAAACTTGTCATACAGCATTTTAAAATTGAATAAAATTTAAGGTAAAAATAAACATCCTATTTCACATGTTTTAAATTTTGGGTAGGTACTTTATGTAAATTTAGGCTCCACCCCAGCAAACAGTCATGGAGTGTGTGGTTTGTTAATAATTTTAATATCAGCTAACTCTTAAAATATAACCAGATCAATTATTTAAAACACATAGCCAGATATATTATTTAAGAACATAGGTTCTAATGCCCCCCCCCTTCATAAAATATTCAAAGGCATATAATATATAATAAAGGAATTTTAATTGCTTAAGAAGTGTTGATTTATGTTTCTGTTCAGATTTTGAGAACGTTTCCATCTACAAAGTGAAAATAGACATGAAAACTCTACGCTCAATGGTTATTTTTAAGATTCTCATTATTTCAACTAGGCCTACTTGTTGTGAGATTTGTAGATTCTCTTGATAGGTCTACTCACTACTCATTATAGTATACCTAGGTCTACACCTAATAACTAGGTCTAAATTCTAGGTCTATTGTGTGTACTCTAGTGTGTGTAGACTTGTAGGCAGATGTAGGCTAATCTTAGACTAAAGACCAACCTCCCTTTGACAGAAGAAAGGTTGTGTGCAAAATGTGTTTGTTTATTTTGTGCGGTGTTCTAGAAGTATTGTACTAATACAAGGTATAATGGGGTCTAGGTAGATCTATTTGTATTTTACAAAACAACTACGCGGCAGTTTCACGACTACTGCGCAGCTTAGAGTCTTAGGGTAAACATTGCTACTTAAGAGTCTTAAGAGTGATTAAAGAGTAAGAAGAGTAAGAAGACTGTACGACATAACTGCTTGTTGGTATGAAAAGTGTCAAATAATAAACTAACACTAACATGATAAATAATTATAAATAATTTCGACAACAATTTACAAATAGATCGCTTATTCAACTAAAACAGATCGCATTCATAGATTGTTGAAACGCTACATATTAACGCATTCTAAATAAAGCGCTCTCTACAACAAAAGCTAAACGGAAATGCCGGATAGTAAGTTATGTCGATACACTGGTTTGAAATATAATAAATAAATTAGATTTATATCAAATGTAATGTACAGAATTATTTGAAATAATTATTTATTTCTAAACAAATGTACTGCAAAAATGTTCTCTAATAACAAATGTTTTGACATTACCTTTAAAACGTTGTTGCGAAACACATATTGATAAACTAAATTTCACAACGCTTGTTCCGTTACCAAAGGACACAACAAAAACGGAAGTAGAAGATAGTTCAGTTTGTTTACAGCGGTGGATCCATTACTTCCTCCTTCGAACGGGAAAACAACATACATGGGAAATCGAAAGTAAAACGACTCGTTGACATTTGAGTCTCATTTGACAGTGGTACAGTTATAGTTAACACACAGAGTCTAATATAAATAATTTATTAGTAAGGATATTGGACTGAACTGAGTATTAGTCTAGCTGCCAATTCAATAAACAAACTAAATTTAAAATTAGCCTATTTATAATTATTTTATGAGAATTTGTTAGAGGTAGTCTAGACTCTTGCCATGTCACTTGTGTGAATGTGTGAGGAGTGAGTAGTCCACGTTGAGTATTGAGAATGAATCGTCGTTGATCTTCTCCTCTGTCTTCTTCATCTGTGGGCCATTCTTGGCATCTTGTCTTACTCACTTCATTAATTTAATACTACCTTACGTGCGAACTACACATCACTAGTAAAGTTTGGCTAAGTAGTTAAGTAGCCTACTACTACTAGATCTACTACTAGATCTAGATCTAGAAATCTAGATCTATTCTTAGTCTAAGTAGTAAGTACTACTAAGTACTAGTACTAGAATACTAGATCTAACTAATGAATCACTAATATTTACTGATAACTAATAAATAAAAAAATTTAAATACTAATAAATTAGGCCTAATAATCTATTCACTATTCTAGATCAAGTAGATCAGTCAGTGACAGTAGGCCGCCTTAGACTACATAAAATATTATTATTTTGACTCTAAAGTTTAACTCTAGAACTAGACTGTCCTAGAATTTCAGAATAGAGACTGTCACCTGCGGCTATTAATAAACTGTAAAGCTGCTAAAAAATATTAACAACTAATGTCAAGACTAATCCTATTTCCAACCTTAGGCCACCCGCGTGCTATATCCCTAAGCTGATATTATTATTCATTAATTATTAATGTAGCAACCTCCCACCAACCTTTTTTAATATCTTCAGTCAGGGCATGGACAAGAAAATAGAAATATGCAACAGACAGTACACTGTCAAATATACTTAACTCTAACTCTAAATAATCTGACTAATGCTACATTGAAAACACTCCTAATTAACTCATGGTTTTTATAATTAACTTAGTCCTAAGTATATCCAGAAATCTAATACTTGATGATTTTAGATACCGATGTCCGATAAAAGACTCCCAAAAATAGTGGTTTTGGGTTGTTAGTAGTATTGTAATCTCGACTAATTTTATGCTTAGAAATTAGGGTTAGGCGTATGGTAGGACTAGGGTTGGGGGTTAGGTATAGGGTTAGCATTGACATTAGCAAGCTATGTGTGAATTTTAGTTAAGTACCAGTAATTTTACTCACCTTTTTTAAGAAGATTTTGTTATCGGACACTGGTATAAAAATGTCCCCCTAATACTTATATAAAGCCATGGTCATCTAAAATTGTGTGACGTTTTACTAGCACCCATCCCAACAATTCATTTAAGCCCTAATTTCTTTTTTATATCATTAACCAGAGTCTAATTGTTTATGCCTGATAACTATAAAAACATGACAACATTCATATTACCCAATCTGAAAGATTTAACCTTTATAATTTTAGTTGCAAACAAGATATTGCAGTATCAGTTGAGGTGGGATTTTGGGTTATAGCAGTGTTGCATGCAGTGTTATTGCTTGGTAGTGGTACTGACATAAGCTTGTTTTAGCCTGGCTAGCAGTTTTACAAGTAGTCCTACCAAGGTGTTATTGTGATCCAATTATATTTATAATGTACATGTTTTAACACTAGTATTGATTAGGTAATAGATTAGGAAGTACAACTGAATATAAATTAGGACAATACACCATTCTCATGTGTTGCTTTCTTAATATTCTATAAACTGTTTTCTTTTATTGCCAGCTAAGAGACTGAAGTTCTAGTGGGCTTCAGCAAAGTAGCAGGTACTTTTGGTTGACTGAGACCTAAGAAGAGAAGGATTATGTAGAATGTGGTTGCTCCATAATATAAAAAATACAAGCAGTTTGTTTTGGTTTGTTATAAAAAAATTTCAGATGCCAAATCTACGTAAACATATAACACACATTCTTCAGAAATGGATTTAGAGCTCGTTTCAATAGCTAAAGACAGAAATTTCATGGAAGTTTCTGAATTATTTATTTGTGTCATTGTAAAAAATATTCGTCGATACCAAGCTCTTGGAACTAACACTCAAAATCTACCGGGCTATTGTCTTAATGTTTTACTGACTCAAGTCACTCATTCTGGTCAAGTCATAGATTTGTCCCAGTCAAATCTAGCAAAGACATATGGACTCAGATATGTTGTGGTCAATACCTGTGTCGCTGTTGGACAGTGTGAGGCAGGAATTGTTTCAGTCAATACAAGCATTCACATAGATAAAGTTCAAAGTGAAGATTTCTATAACCTCAAGACAAATATTTCATGCGTATCACTTGGTGGAGTAGCGAGGGAAATTGATAAACTTGCTAGATTTGTTAACTATCAGTCAAATGTATCCATACCCAATCAACCAGTTGGTGTTATACTTCATGGCCCTCCAGGCTGTGGGAAAACCTCTATAGCCAAAAACCTGTCACAGACAACAGGTGCTGTGCTCATCAGCATTGAAGGAACAGATGTTCTCAACTCAGACTTTGGATCAGGAGCCGTGGCCTTGAGAAACATATTCAGTCGAGCAGTTTGTTTATCTGATGAGGGATCTGTTGTTGTTGTCATTGACGAGTTAGATGTTCTTTGTCCAAGAAGTGAAAGTTCAAGTTTAGGCAGCCGGCAGATTACTAATGCTCTCATCTCTGAAATGGACAGCTTGAGTTCTAAGCAATGCAGGGGTGTTTTAGTTATTGGCACGACTAATGTTATATCTTCAGTCAATCCAGCTCTTAGACGACCAGGGCGATTTGATCATGAGGTCAGAATTCTTTCACATCTTTGTCTAAATCAAATTTTATCTTAAGACCCTTTTGTTTTAATTATAGAAAAAGTTAAATGTATGTTGAACTGCCAGGTGGTTGATGAAAACTGCTTGTCTGCTTAAACAGGTGCTTATAAACGTCCCCACTAAAGAGCAAAGGATTTCTATTCTAGAAGTGCTGACATCTCCCCTACAACTAGATGGAAATGTGTCTCTTGCTGAACTGGCTACCTGGACTACAGGCTATGTGGGGTCTGACTTGAAGGCACTCTGTGAAGAGGCGGCCAGTCATGCAGCAACCACGGTAAAACCTCCTGACACTTTTTTGCTTAAGCCCATCTAGCTTTCAATGGTTATCTGTTGTTTGCTGTTCTATGTCTCCTAGCAATATCAACTTATTACACATTAAAAAATTATGTCCATTTTCTATTTACTGTATAGCATATTGATATTAACTATATATCTCTTTATTGTTTCCATCCTAATAATAAAGCATTCCCCCATAATTTAGTCAGTTTCACTGGTTAATGTATCATTATTATAAGCTGGTTCTCTTAGATAAACCAGCCTGAGGTGTAGCAGGTTTTGGGGATATTTACACATTCTCACAGTTTTCAGCCAATATGTATAATGAATGCTGTTCACAAATATGTTAACATCTTTTCATTCTGCTATTCAGAGTGTGGATGCCAGTGTTGGCAAATCAGATTTCATGTATGCCTTACACAAAGTGGTCCCATCACTCAGAAAAACATCAAGTTGTTCAGTTGACTTACAGCCTGTCAAGTGGGATGACATTGGTGGATTGAAGGAAGTCAAGGAGGAAATAATACAAGTTAGTGTAAATAGCGTGATATTAATGCTATTTTGTAAAAAGAATATTTTTGGAATTTCATCGTTCCATTCAACATCATAATTTTATAAAATAAAATACATGAATGCAATTTATACTTTTTGCTAGAACTTTAATCATTGCTGAAGCAACTTACTGTAGAGCCACATTGGCTAGTAGAATATATTTGTCCTCTTGTCAGTCTGTAGAGTGGCCGCTACTGTATCCAGAAGCGCTTCGGAGAATGGATTTATCTGCAACTAAAGGGATATTGCTCTATGGGCCACCAGGCTGTTGTAAAACCACATTAGTACGAGCCGCTGCTACTTCCTGTCATGTGACTTTTTTAACCCTCAATGGTGCTCAGATTTATTCTCCTTATGTTGGAGAATCTGAGAGAATTATTTCAGAGGTAATAACTTTCAAAATATTTTTATAAAATTTTATTCATTAATTTACATTAAAATTGATTATAGTTTTGTAGAAAAGATACCAGAGATTAATAATGATTGGGTTATCTTTTTAGAAGATAATTTTCTGTGACTGTATTAGTTTTTAGTAATTGTGTTTAATTATTATTAACATACAATTGTATAACATAAATTGAATTTCAGACTTTCCAGAAGGCAAGAGCCCTGTCCCCCTGCATACTGTTCTTCGATGAATTAGAATCTATTGTTGGTAAAAGAAGCTCAGATGGCAGGCAGTCCAAGGTCCAAGAAAGAATATTGGCTACCATGTTGAATGAGATGGATGGCATAGGAGCAAGACTAGATCAAAAGATGGATGCTTCCCTCACTTCACATAAAGGAAAAGATAAGCAAAAAATGAAAGAGTTGAATGCTGCTTATCAAACAAATGGAACTGATAATTACACACAGCAGGTATTTTTTATATTTTAAATACATCTTTTTTATAATAAGCCAAGAGTTATCTTTGTATAGATGTATATTGTGTTTAGAAAAGGGAAATTGAATTTAAAAATGTTTCAGTATGAAGGTCCATCACGTGTGATAGTTATTGGTGCAACAAACAGGCCTGATATGTTGGATTCTGCTATCTTACGTCCAGGCCGCTTAGACAAGTTGATTTATGTACCTCCCCCAGATGAAGAGGTGAGAAAAATTATTTACGTTTCCCCTTGTAGGAATTTAAGCATAATCAAGCTGCTCCTACTTCAGAGTTTTTATTTAAGACAATTCTTTTTGAAAAGTTAACATTCACTATATTTCATAGGTATATTCCATCCGTGTTTGCATTTTTATTCTTGCCCTAAATATATTGTTCGGTCTAACCTATTGGACTGGTATAAGCCTTATGGATCAAGTCCATCAGACTTCAGTGTAATCAACTAAATTCTAGAACTTTGGGATATTTTCTCAATGGACTTTGATTTTTAAAAGAAGCATCACATCTGCTCCATTGTAAATCATTCATTTGGACATGTGATGGAACAGTTTTTTCTGTCAATGTTCATGTAGGTCTCCTTTTGGTGAAGAAAGTTGACCTTCTATCTCAAGTCTGCTGTGTCTAAACTATTTTACAACAGATAAATTATTTGGACATTAGGGTTTCCCTTTACAAAATCGTGCATCATACTACATCAGATGATTATTTTATAACCTATCCCCAACATACAGGCTCAATAAGTGCCTATAAAATGATGTTACATTAAACTTATGTTTATGAAGTACAAAGAGTATGCAGCATCACATTTATTACACCGCCATCCATCTCTCTCACATCATGATAAATATCAATCCTACTTTCTCTTATAAAACTGATGTCATCAATGAACCACACGTGTAAAATGTGCATACTAGTATTTTGTATGTGCTTTAGTGTTCCAATGAGACAATAAAAGATAATTCAGCCATGCTTTTCTGTATTTTTGTTTGGCTTTGTGTTATCTATTTCCATTTTCTTACTAAAAGTGTATTAGGATACATTCCACCCACATGTTCCAACCTTAGTACATCATCACGTATATATTTATATTGCTAATTTTTTAATTGAAACATTGGAGTGAGTAAAATATATTTATGTTAACCATTTGGTTCTTATAAAAATGTCTGCTGGATGATCACAATCTTATCATGATTTTATATCTACCTGTATTGCTGTTAAGATCAGATTAATTTCGTGATCATAGTTGGGGTTAGTAGGTTTTTAGCTCTTTAATCATAATTTTTCTTCTTGTCCACAGAGTAGAAAGTGTATACTAAACATCTACAGCTCCAGTATACCCACAGAGAATTTGGACCTGAAAGAGCTGAGCAACAGAACCTCTTATTATTCAGGGGCTGATCTGAAAAATGTTTGTAAAGAGGTAATCTTTCAGGGTCAATTCACAGTTTACATTTGTTTGGGTAAAAAGTACTTTGAAAAGGTTTTTATCTTTTATTATTTAAAACTTTAATCTCTAAACAAAAATAATAGTAATCTTACAGGTTGGGTTATTTCTTTAAAGAAATATTTAGAAATTTTTTTACATAAAAGTCAATTTATAATCTTTTTTTTTTCTGATTTTTTGCAAGCTTCTGTTAATTGTGATTCCTCATGTTTTGTATATATGTCTTGAGTTAAAATTTGCTATAGAAGTTTCACCACTTCTACTGAACCTATTAGTTTCAAATGTGTTTTAGTACATGAAGAAATACTTGTTTATAGAAACATAATTATATTGTATAGGCCTGTATAATTTTGTTTAATTTTGAATTAAAAATAAATTTGCTTTGCTAAAAAACTAAACAATCTCAAAACTCTTGTTTCAAACTAATTGACGATTCAAGATGAAATAGTTTTTACATTTATTTATTGCATACATTTTTTAAAAGTTCTGTTTTTATTTATTCTGTCTAGGCTGGATTAATTGCTCTCCGTGCTAATATGGGAGACAATTTGAGCAACACAGTTGTGTCCCACCAGCATTTCCTTCGGGCTCTGGATGTTGTGAAGCCTTCTTTATCAGACCACATCGTACAGCACCATCATCTCAAGTAATGAGTGTTTTGGTCAAGGGTGACCGGAAGGATGCACAAACAGGAAAATGCCCAAAAGAAAACTGTCCACAAAAATGTGCGTAAGGGAATAATATTCTCCACATTGACCATTGATTTAAAGATTTCAGTAAAGAATGATTACATGTACATTGAAACATAATAAAACATTCTTCCACAAAATATGGCAAAATTAAAGTGTAATAGTATAATGTGTTTGTACTTGCGTTCATTTTTCTGGGAACCTTGAGTTGCTGCCATAACCATGATCAGGGATGACAAGTAGTGCTATAGACAGGGTTCGTACGCAGTCTGGAAAGTCTGGAAAAAGTCTTGAATTTAGAAAAGTGAATTTAAGACTTTAAAAAGTCTGGAAAATCGCTAGTTTTTGGGCAGGATTTTTTAAAAGTCTGGAAAAAGTCTGGAATCTAGTTTTAGAAACAAAACTTCGTAGTCCATATTTTCCAACTTTAAAAAAAAATGTTTTTTTTTAAGTGAATTTACTCCAATTTTTTTCCCCGCGCTATCGCGCGGGTTTACACTGTGCTGTGACGTTTTTCCGCTGGTTTGCAGAAAAAAGACGGATGCTCAGTTACTACGTCATTGGGAGAAGAGGGGAAGGGAGGGAAGAGATATTTTGTGGCACGACTAACCGTATGAATGTGTTACAAGTACGTACAATTGTCATTTAATGAAAGAATGATCGCCGTCATGATTGTTAGGCTCTCGATTTTACCCGCTATTTTTTCATCGTTAACAAAAGTTATGGGGGAGATGAGTGAGTGGTAGTTTAGATATAATGTATCAGTCTGTAAGGCGTCATCCGTTTATGACTTACAACAATTTTTCCGATTTTAGACCCACCCCCTTTCCCCTTCCCCCCCCCCCCCCCCGCCCTCTGTCCACACGCGTTCACTTCTTTGGATTAATATTAACATTTATAAGATTAATAAGTCGCAAGGCCTCCTTGGGTTCATACCTGTATTTCTGTTTGCTTCAGCTTAACAAAGAGGTACTATTTTTATTTAGGAGTCGTCCATAAATGACGTCACACTCCGGAAAGTCGGGAGGAGGGTTTTATAAAGTGTGACGACACGTTCTTGCAATAATGTTGGGGTAGATATAAATACCGTGTTTTATTTACACGCTGCGATGGTTTTTAAAACACCAGCACAGTAGTCTTAATTTTACTTTCTACTCGCAAGATACACGTTTTATGTTTGTTTTAGAATGTAATCACAAAATCTTCCGACCCCTTCCCCCCTCCATGTGTACGTCATAAATGGATGACCCCTTTAATTTTAATTCACCTTCCATTAAACTATTTTTAATATCTTTGCAAATGCTGACGATTAAAGTTAGACTACCCCGCCCCTCCTTGCAACATCGGTCACTTGTGTGAACTCACCGTGACCCCAAGTTGGTAGTTGGTACTGCTTGGTAAGTAGGGTGGGGGAGGGGGTATAAGTCACAGCACAGTTCATGTTATACTGAAGTCTAGACCACTATGACCTCACAGTGACCGCTTCACCATGTCTGTGGGGGGAGGGGGGAGGGTACCGGCAATTTTTTTTATTGTAGACCCGTTTCTCAGCTATTACTATAAGCACAAACAGTGAATGATGTGCGTAGCCTATAAGCTACTTAACAAGAGCAGACCTAAATTAATACATTACATTATTATTCTTTAAAGTAATTAACTCTCACTATTATGTAATACCATTTTAATGATAGTTTAATTGAAAACATAAGCAATTAGATCAGGAACAGATTACATAAGTCTAATGTTGGAAACAAAATAGTTGCATCATTTTAATCAATTTTTTAATTGTTAAAATTTTAGGTAGGGTGGAGTAGGCAAACTTTGAAAAGTGATTTTCAGTCAATTCGGCTAGAGAAAGTTCACTATGAATATAGCTCAATTGCCTAAAATAAATGTCAATTTAGTATAAGTAATTATAATGACAGTACAAATAGTGCATCATTTAAAAAAATTATTCGCTAACACATTATCTGTCTAAAGTCTGGAATTTTTCCAAAAAAGTCTGGAAAATGTCTGGAAAAAGTCTGGAATTTCATTTTCAAAAAGCAGTACGAACCCTGTATAGATGGACTTAAGTAGACTGTCATATGGGCATTTAGTGTGTGCTTTAAAATAAAAAACTGCACTACTGAATTTGAAAATCAAATTGTTGAGTATTATCATAATATGTAATATATTTCAAAAATAAATATTGATGTTGAAAATAATGTCATTTTTTTGTTTTATTGTGTTTGTGTGGGTTTACCTTAAGGTTTAAAATTTGTATTTTTAAAAAACAAATTACACAGAAACAAACTAATAAAATAAAGTATTTATTTACTTATTTTTCCTTCAATAGTTAGAAGAATAAAAGTGCTAAAAATGTCAATACTCAGAAATTTAAATTCTTCTATTTTTAAATGGTCTTCTTTTTGTTTTCAAACTATATTTTAAAAATCTTTAACCATTGATTTCTAAATTTTATTATATTAATCTCAAACATCCACCTGCAAAAAACCTGAAACTACTTTGTCAGGAATTTCCTTTATTTTTTTTTTGGGGGGGGGGGGGGGGGTGTCAATAATTAAAAAACAAATATTCCTTAAATAAACAACACTACATATTTTCAGAACTGTTCAACCCTGTACACAAGTTTTCTAAATTCTAACCAAAATAATAATAATCATTAAAAAAGTTTTAAAAAACCCACGTTTTCTGATTGAACTAAAAAGTAGAAAATAAATACTATACATCACAATAATGCAAGCGATCACTCTACTATAAGCGATGAAAAACGTGGGGCGCCGTGATTTTCTTACAGTTTCTAATACTGTTGACTCTCTACAAGCTCCCTAATAAAAGTCAGTAGTATTATCTAATCAATAGTAATATAACTTTTACTTCGGCGCCCCACGTTTTTCATCGCTTATAGTAGAGTGATCGCTTGCATTATTGTGATGTATAGTATTTATTTTCTACTTTTTAGTTCAATCAGAAAACGTGGGTTTTTTAAAACTTTTTTAATGATTATTATTTTCTAGTTTTTAGTCTTTGTCTGTTTGTTTGCATTAAAATCTTGCTATCGATTTTATCTTAAACACGTTTTTCTTAACTCAGCTTCGCGTTTGTTTGTTTGGTTGTTTGGATGTTTGTTGTTAAAATTGACATCGAAAATTAGCCCACTTCTGATTGCTCTTGAGATCTGAAATTTGGCATACAGGCTACTTTCGCCTAACAATTTCAGATGCAATCATAAAAACTAGAAATTAGAGACCGTAATTAGCTTAATTTAATTACGCCCCAAGGACCATAAAATTGAGGACATGATTTCTAAAGATACCGACAAGACTGTAGGCTTATTGACACAGTTACTTCGGCCCCAATCGATGTGAGCGCGCTGGCCGTGATCGTATAGTGGTTAGTACTTCGCGTTGTGGCCGCGACAACCCAGGTTCGAATCCTGGTCGCTCAAGATTTTTTTAGTCCGTGTATTTATAAACACTTAGTAAAGTCATACTTAATCAAGTCATTAGATAAAGTAGAAAATAAACTATATAAAAAACTTTTTTAAAAACCACGTTTTTCATGTGTAGCAACGGACTAAAAAGGAGAAAATAAAATACTTAAAAAAAACTTTTTAAAAAACCACGTTTTTCTTGTGGACTAAAAAGTAGAAAATAAATTTTTCTTTTGTGCTTCCTCGAGCTGTGCAAGTTCTTGTGATGACTGACAAAAAACGTGGGTCGGGCAGATGGGTCGGGAAATTTGATGGTGAACGTACCCACGTTTTTTGTCAGTCATCACAAGAACTTGCACAGCTCGAGGAAGCACAAAAGAAAAATTTATTTTCTACTTTTTAGTCCACAAGAAAAACGTGGTTTTTTAAAAAGTTTTTTTTAAGTATTTTATTTTCACTTTTTTTTTTTTGGGTAAACGAAGACAACTCGTAAAAAGACAACTCGTAAAAAGACAACTCGTAAAAAACGCGTTGTGTGAATACGTTACTGATTAGAACACATTTGAACCCGTGTTGAGTGGGATAGCAATCGCGTGCCCAACCACTCGACCATATCGTCTCCCCCATACTGGCCACCAGTTGTTACGGTTGTTTGTACACAAATTACAGTTACTGGGTTATGTCCCTTTTTCCCCACGTTTTTACTACAACGAGCCGACCCGCGGCGTATCATACGCCGCTATTTAGTTGATTTATTTTCTACTTTTCAGTAATTCATAATTTGTGAATTCGACAGTACCAATGCTGCCACTGAAAATATTTGCTTTAAAACACTAACCCCCCTCCTTTCCCCTAACCCCGACCCCCCCCCCCCCCCCCCCCCCGTGAAAGCAGCCTCCTCTTAGTTACCTCCTGTAAGTTTAAAGTCGGTTTTAAACTAAATTATCTGCCCCTAATAGCCGTCACTAAACCTGGCTGTACGGTTTGTAAACATTAACGTGACCACAGCTCAGCAGACAATGTGGGGGTGGGGTGGGGTGGTAGAGAGAAAGAGAGGGGACTGTAAGGAGGCGCTTGCAGCTTGTTTTCTAATGGCTCGCAGAGGAGAATTATATATATAGATTATATAGCGGTCTAAAATGCTCAATAAAATGTTTCCATTGATCAATTTAGTAATAATAACAATTGAATATTCTATGGTCATCCAAAAGAAAGCTTCCCTGAAAATTTCAGCGCGCTAGCTAACTGGGAAGTGCCAGAAATTTCGATCGCAAGATTTGATTGGAAAGACAGAGAAAGCAAGTTAAAGAAAACGTGGGAATAATAATCATTAAAAAAGTTTTTAAAAACCCACGTTTTCTGATTGAACTAAAAAGTAGAAAATAAATGCTATACATCACAATAATGCAAGCGATCACTCTACTATAAGCGATCAAAAACGTGGGGCGCCGAAGTAAAAGTTATATTACTATTGATTAGATAATACTATTGACTTTTATTAGGGAGCTTGTAGAGAGTCAACAGTATTAGAAACTTTAAGAAAATCACGGCGCCCCACGTTTTTGATCGCTTATAGTAGAGTGATCGCTTGCATTATTGTGATGTATAGCATTTATTTTCTACTTTTTGGTTCAATCAGAAAACGTGGGTTTTTTAAAACTTTTTAACACGTTTTTCTTAACTCAGCTTCGCGTTTGTGGATTTGTTTGTTTGTTGTTAAAATTGACATCGAAAATTAGCCCACTTCTGATTGCTCAATAGATCTGAAATTTGGCATGTAGGCTACTTTCGCCTAACAATTTCAGATGCAATCATAAAAACTAGCAATTAGAGACCGTAATTAGCTTAATTTAATTACGCCCCAAGGACCATAAAATTGAGGACATGATTTCTAAAGATACCGACAAGACTGGAGGCCTATTGGCACAGTTACTTCGGCCCCAATCGATGTGAGCGCGCTGGCCGTGATCGTATAGTGGTTAGTACTTCGCGTTGTGGCCGCGACAACCCAGGTTCGAATCCTGGTCGCTCAAGATTTTTAGTCCGTGTATTTATAAACACTTAGTCAAGTCATACTTAATCAAGTCATTAGATATAGTAGCAAATAAACTATATAAAAAACTTTTTTAAAAACAACGTTTTTCATGTGTAGCAACGGACTAAAAAGGAGAAAATAAAATACTTAAAAAAAACTTTTTTAAAAAACCACGTTTTTCTTGTGGACTAAAAAGTAGAAAATAAATGTTCATACATTTGATGACAAAAAACGTGGGTCGGGCAGATGTGTCGGGAAATTTGATGGTGAACGTACCCACGTTTTTTGTCATCAAATGTATGAAAATTTATTTTCTACTTTTTAGTCCACAAGAAAAACGTGGTTTTTTTAAAAAGTTTTTTTTAAGTATTTTATTTAATGATTATTATTTTCTACTTTTTAGTCTTTGTCTGTTTGTTTGCATTAAAATCTTGCTATCGATTTTATCTTTTCCTTTTTTTTTTTGGGTAAACGAAGACAACTCGTAAAAAGACAACTCGTAAAAAGACAACTCGTAAAAAGACAACTCGTAAAAAACACGTTGTGTGAATACGTTACTGACTAGAACACATAGATTTGAACCCGTGTCGAGTGGGATAGCAATCGTGTGCCCAACCACTCGACCATATCGTCTCCCCCACACTGGCCACCAGTGGTAATAGTTATCTCCTGTAACTTTAAAGTCGGTTAAAACTAAATTATCTGCCCCTAAGCCTGTCGCGAAGTGGGATCGTTCGCTTCACTGCGCGCGGCAAGAGAGAGGCTAGCTACGCGTCGCTGGTTTTTTTTCAAATGGCTCGCAGAGGAGAATTATATATATAGATTATATAGCGGTCTGAAATGCTCAATAAAATGTTTCCATTGATAAATTTAGTAATAATAACAATTGCATATTCTATGGTCATCCAAAAGAAAGCTTCCCTGAAAATTTCAGCGCGCTAGCTAACTGGGAAGTGCCAGAAATTTCGATCGCAAGATTTGATTGGAAAGACAAACAAACAGAGAAAGCAAGTTAAAGAAAACGTGGGGAAAAAAAAAAATGATGGGAAGTGACATTTTTCATGTTGACAAATGTAACTTGTTGAGCTAAGGGAAATAACCCATCGAATTCTTCTGCGAAGTAAACCGGGAGCGATTGCTTCCCATGACTTTTTCGAATTTTATCTCTACTTTTGTGAGTTTTAATAAATCTAGATGAATCTAGGTCTTTCTCCTATTTTTACGCTTTTTTTACAAACTAGATCTAGATCTAGATTTAGATTCTGCTCCTGAATTCTAGAAATAACAATTTTGGAAGAAAAGAAAAAAATTCAGAGGTTGTCTAACTTTGATTTAACTAGCGACTATGAGGTTAAACTTTGACCTTTGACATGTAAATCTAGGTGAAGAAGTTCAGGAATCAAGCAGACCAAATTTAAAGCTGTAGTGATATTATTTATTTTTATTTCAGATCTAGATCTAGATTAGATCTACATTGATGAGTATACTGATATATCATATAATTATTAAAAGACACACCATCTTTTCTATTAGAAATAATTAGATCTAGATCGAGATTTATAGATCTACATTCTATAGACTATCACTATAGATAGTTATAGGACTAGGTAGGCCTAGATCTTCTATTAGTCTATATTACTCTATTAGTTATTAGATCTAGATCTAGTATTAGTATTATAATCTCTAGATCTAGATTAGATATCTAGATCTAGAATCTAGATTTCTAGAATTTAGAATTTTAGATCTAGATCTAGAATCTAGTCAAAAATATTTAGGCCTAGGCGTAATAAAATTAATAATTGGTATCCTAATAATTTTACGCCTGCCCTAGGGCCTAGGGGGTCATCCATAAATGACGTTACACTTTTTTGAAGATTTTTACCCCCCCCCCCTCTACTCCGTCACACATCGTCACAAAAAGCCAGACCCCCCCCCCTCCTGAAATGACGTCACACTTCAGCCTACAACCCCCCCCCCCCCCCTCTAAATTTCAGATGAATTTTTCCTAAAACATTGATATTTTTCCAAAATTTTGTCTGAACCCAGTCGAAATAGAGTATTTTAATCAATTCCTAAAACGCGAAATAACAGCTAAAATTCCGTTTTCCACCATTGCTTTTTTATAATGCATAAGTGTGACGTCGCACCATCTGAACCTCCTTTCCTCATCACACACCGTCACAAAATTACGGACCCCCCTATGAGTGTGACGTCATTTATGGACCACCCCAAACAAAAAATGCAAAATTGTTACTGCACTCAACCTAGTGAAGGCAGTGATAACATGCTGATATGGAGGGTAGATAAAATCTACTTCATAGTGTTGAGCGTTGAATTTTTTATATTTTAATTACAAATTTTCTGTTCACAGTTCCATCAATGACAGAAATGAACATAAAAATAAGTGAACTTTCAACACCATGCTTTCTTGTGGATATTGACAAAGTGAAAGAAAATTGCCAGCATATGATAGATACATGCAAAAAATTGAATCTTCAACTTCGACCCCACACAAAGACACACAAGACTATGTGAGAATCAATTTTAAAACTTAAAGTTTTGTGTATATAATATGTTCTTAAATAAACCAATAAATATATTTGTATACTTCAGTGAAGGAGCTATTCTCCAGACTGATGGAGCAAAGCGCTGCATAGCAGTTTCAACACTTGCGGAAGCTGAGTTCTATGCAGACAATGGATTTGATGATATTCTCCTAGCTTATCCAATAACTAAAGATAAAATCAAAAGGTTTGTAGAAAATAAGATAACACTAAATACAAATAGGGCTGTCTCCTGGACAATGTTTTTAGGACGAAAAACTCCAGGACACAGGAGCCAACATAAGCTGTTGGTAACTTGATCTATTACTAGCTACTCCAAGTGCCTACAATGGTAACATACTCATTAGCTCAGTCCATTGATATAAAATGAAATCTTAAACGCCTTTCTGAAATGCTTTCTTAATGTAATAATTCACCAAATCAAGGTATACATTTATTTGGTGAAGTCTTTTTATTTGTATTTGTCTACATAAGTTATTTTAATTGACCCCCCACAATATAAAATGAAATCTTAAACGCCTTTCTAAAATTCTTTCTTAATGTAATAATTTACCAACTCAAGGTATAAATTTATTTGGAAAAGTCTTTTGATTTTGTATTTGTCTCCATAAATTATTTTAATTGACATGCATTTCTCTACAAGATGTCTGAATCTAGTAGCCAAACTAGAAACTTTTCATGTGATGGTGAGTGGGATGGAAGGACTGAAATGTTTGGAAGATAACATACAGAACTTGCCAGATGGCAAAATTTGGTCATTGGTGCTCGAAGTGGACGCTGGCTATGGAAGAAGTAAGTGGACCTGTTCTTCATGAATAATTTCCCAAAATCATACTGAAAATCTGGCTGCACTGCCTTAAGAAACCGACTCAGTACCCTGAGAATATCACTAACTCTAAGAAACAGACTGACCACCTTGACAATCACTGACCACCAGATAATCATGAGAGTTTTTAAGATTCTGACTGAACGTGACCGACCATCCTGAGGGGTCATGTTTATAATCTGACTGACCACTTTACATTGTGAGGGGATTTATTTAAATAACAATTGAAAAAAAAATTTAAATAAATCTTTCACATGTTTTAATATAATTTATTTTTTTATAATTGTCGTCAAAACAATATTTAGTTATTTAATAACTACAAGTATGAACTGTTTTTATTTTTCAATTATAATAGCTGGATTTTCTTATGATGGTGAGGAATTAATTGATGCAGCCTTGAGAGTGAAGAACTCACAAAGGATGAGGCTAGAAAAGCTGTACCTACACTGTGGAGACTCATATCGCCTGAAAACTATTTCAGAGAAACAAGAAAGTCAAAAGACTAACATTAATACATTGACAGCTCTTGAAAAAGTGTATTAGATTATTTTCTTCCTTCTTTATCTTAGGTCTAAAATTTAGATTTTGTAATAATTTTAAATAATAATATATTATAACATTCATAATTTGTTAATTTTAGAGAATTAATAAAATTGTCATTAAATATATGCATCTTATAGCAGTTAGAAGTACAATATATTTTAGTATTGGTATAAGTTAATAAAATGAATGACATCACTATTTTAATACTATTTTAGGTTAGCAGAAAAAGGAATAACCTGTACATCAGGTGTGGGTTCAACCCCCAACTGTAGTTTACCTGTTCAAGAAAACAGCCAGCTAACGGAGTTTCATCCTGGGAACTATATTTTTTACGGTGCGAAATGTCACATGATTCAGTAGCTTAAATTTGTTTTCACCTCAGTGAAGACTTGCATTAAAATAGAATATTTTAAAATGTACCCACTTTGATCACTATTATAAATTTTATAGAGGCTAAAAAAAAACATTTACTTTACTGTAAAGTTTAAAATAGAACATTCAATTTCAGTTTTTCAAAGGATTTTTAAATGAAAAAATGTACTTTATTACTTTATCATATTTTAAATTTAAGAATAGGGTGGTCTGCAAATTTTTGCTTTTAAAATCTATTTGGCTAATTTATTTCTAGTTAAGTAGTTATCTATAACAAAAGAAGCTATACATATATTTTATCTTGTGTTAAATGTACTATTGTTAGTCATAAAGGCCTACCTGACACTCTAATTTAAGTTTCATGTTAAAATTCAGCATGTAACTAACAAGGCGAAATTATGTTTCTATTTTTTAAAGATTACATGCAGTACTTATTTGGCTCCTGTCGTGAATCTAACATTGCCTGCAAAGTGATGACAAGAGTGATTGCTCATAAGCCAGAAAAGAATTTATTCCTTGTTGATTGTGGATTCCTGGCCCTTGGACATGATGGGAAGAATGAAAGATTTCCTTTAGACTTCTGTTTGATACAAGGGGAGAGCAATCTGAGGTAAGCAATTCTGGGCAAGCTGTTTATGTGTTTTCTCTATTTTATAAATGTTTAATGATTTTACTAAATAGCTAGCTACGCTAGTATTTACAGTTATTTAACATAGATATTAAAAATACTTATTTTAACATGTAGTTGTTAAATTTCTGAATTTGAGCAAATATAGACATTCTTTGCGCAATGTACTTTGTGTTAGCATCGATAAAAAATTTCATCTCCTATTAACTGCTAAATTTATTGTGTTGCACCTACATAAAAATACATGTCATGACATACTAACTGGATTTATACGTATTACAATCCAGGTTTGTTGATATGTCGCAGGAGATAGGAAAAATTACTGCAAAGGAAGGAGATCTTAACTTTTCTCTCTACCCCATAGGAACCATTTTCTACCTATTGCCGTATCATGTAAGTCATCACCTTTTTATGAGCTGAATAGCCATGGGGTGTTTTACATGTGGATGTTGTTAATTAGTCATTTCTATTTAGACGTAGAGTTATGTTGTGGTTCTGGGCAGGGCATGCCAAAGTAGGAGTTTTAGTGTTAATTGCAGTGTACTGTTTTTATGGTCAGCTGACGTGGTGCAGACAGTAGTTAAACCAAATAGAGCAGCAAAGGTTAGAGGAAGTAAAGATTATCCATTACTCTGTGCTTGTAGATTTCAGTTACTGTGACAGCTCTTGAATCTGTCTAAAAAAACTGAGGTTTTATTTTATTTACTAAATCCAACATTGGATTTATTGTTGTTGATTGTTGACAGGATCACTGTTTTACTCACATGTTTTAGTGCCCTAAAGTAAATACCAATTATTGCATGCTGGTATCTTGTCTTTAATAGATGTCTTTTATAATCCAACCAAACCCCTCAGAGTCTGGATGTTGTTTTAAATCTTATGTCCACCTACAGAGCTGTTGTACCAGTGCCCTACACAGTGTGTACTACGTCCACTCTGGTGATGAAGTTGTTGCCACATGGAAACCTGTACGGGGATGGTAAACCATCAACATTCAGGATTTAACAACAGCAATGATGGTAAATCATCAACATTCAGGATTTAACATCAGCAATGATGGTAAATCATCAACATTCAGGATTTAACATCAGCAATGATGGTAAATATTTCATCAACATCAGGATCTGACAACAGCAACGGTGGTAAATGTTTCCATCAACATTACCAGTAAAGGTAACTGAATGATTGTATTATTAACAGGATGGATGATTTAACAGTAAAGATGATACTAAAACAAGAATGATACAACAATGATAACATTACAGCAAGGATGATACAGATTTGGTAAATAGCAAGAATAGTAAACGTTTCACTGACATCACTACATAAAATTGATGTTTATTGTACATGAATACCTAGCCATGCATTGCATTTTTTTTCTTATTTATTATTATTGGTTTCTTGCATCTTTTTGATATTAAACAGAAAAAAGTTATTTTAGGATGGTTTACAAAAAAATAATGATATGCAAATAAGTGGGCACTTTAAATGATGAATCATGCACTTAGTACTCAGTGATTTAATTTTTTTATATTGGAGAGGATGAGCTGACTAACAAAATTATGCATTTACTTTTAATTTTAAACAAAGTAAACAAGACATGAAGCTATAGACCATAATTGCAAACACTTTTTAAATAATTATCATGTAATTACTTTATTTTTTATCCTTTCTAAATGTGTTAGAACTGAAACATTAATGTGCCTTTTGCCTTGTTTTCCCAAATGCTGTATACATCATTTAGGGGAAAAGTCTTTCAAAAGCTCTTATATATTTGTTCAGTGTTTAAACATGAAATTTACATATTTGGTGGAGGACTCCAGTGCAATTGTTAAGGAGTGCATTAAAGAATTTATACTTTAAACACTTCATCTTGTTTGAGATTCTTTTTATTACATTTTGTCTATGTTAAAAAAAGATAAATGACTTGATTATGACACGGGTCTTTTTAAAAGAATGGGTTGCCTTTAATATGTCAATGTTCTTAACAAAGGTATTCATCAGCATGTAGACTGATTGTAACAGGCATGTAAACAGATTGTAACAAGCAGAAAAAATATTTAAGCCTTGGGACCATTTCATATAGGTGGAAGAGGCCAGAGTTTCTTCCAGGCATCTATCGCCCCCCCCCCCCCCTCCAGAAAATTACAATATTAATATTTAATATTTCAATGTTATATCTATATAAAGATTTTCTTTTTATAAGTTAGCTAATTGCCAGCTATTTGGAATGGCTGCATGAATAAGCTGCTAAATAATCCTTTTCTTGCCAGTACCATGACACATGGAGCAGTCCTACAGAAGTTTTTGTTCATTTGTGCCAGATTTTTGCAACTTTCATGCTAGTTTCCCGAGACGATCCACATCTTGCTAATTGTTTCTCAATTTGTGCCTTCTCCATAGGATATCTCCTATTCGTTTGTGGTGTTAACTTATCACCTTTATTTTTTTCATATAAAATGGCAGCAATTTTTTTTACTAATCTTACTTTTTTTTTAACACAACAGCAATAAAGATATCAATTTTCTTAGTCTCAATGCCTGTAGTATATGCCTATAGTTAATAGAATAAGAAAAAAGTTAGCGAAATGTAATGGTACCACAATTTATACTATAAGTATAGCAGGTGGTCTATGAAAATGTTGCATAAAGATATAAATGTAGACTATGAGACTGCAGCTGAACATGTAACGTTATTTGAGCTTGCTGTATAAAAAAAAAACATGAACTAAATATTTTAAGAAATCACGTGATATAAGAGCAGGTTAACACAATTAGTTTATTAATTGACAATATTGACACAAGAAAAAGAAAAAAAAAAGAACAACTTGCCATACATACAAATAGGCTGCGTAGTAGGCCCTATTGCTCTTGAGCTGACACATATAATCAGTTACGCTAACATCGCATTCAAAATGGTAAATGAACAAACTTATTAAAATATATAAAAATATGTTCCATCTTTTAAAAGAATGTATTTCGTTTTGTTTAACAAACAAAATCAATAAATAAAAATTATAAACATGACTACAACTAAAACCAACATACATCAACATCAGTAGAAATAGAAGGTTGTGTTCACTTTTTGTTGGCAAGCACAAGCAGATGTTTGCACTTTTGTAATTACAAATACAGACCGTCCCAGAAACACGCACACACTTTACGGCAAAAGTAAAGAGTTTGAAACATTAATACAGAAATCAAGAAAACGAAATTTTAAAAATTAGGTCATATATAACACAAAAAATATAGGAAATATTTACAGAACATGTTTACAACAGACTAGAACATTATGGGCTAGATTAGAACTATTTACATTATGAGGTAGGCTCAATTTTGAAGGATGGTTTCAACCCAACAAGGGTTACAATGTGGAACTAGAGTAAAAAAAAAACACTTTCTGTGTGTTTTTAACTCATCTGGGCTTACAATATGGACTATGCTTGAACTCAAGGCGTATAGCTTTATGCTGATTCGGTTTTCGTTGAAGGGTCGACCATAAACGACTTCATACTCCTAGGGATGGGGGTGGATGTTCAGAATGTGTAAAGACACACTTTTGCAATTTATTATTAATTTTTTAAATTAATCGAAATACTATAAAGGCCTTATAATGCGTTGACCGCGATCGGTAAAATTAAAAAAATAATAATAAATTAAATGCTGCAGAGGGTTGTTTGGCTGGATTTTTAGGACGATGTGAAGATTTTTTATAGGGGAGATAAAAATCATTTAGAAAAAGCATGAGGACGTTTATGGATGACCCCATAAGATATGTCCCTCACCAGCCTGAAGCTAGTTGGAGCTCATCCCCCACAGGTGCTGAGCCCGAAGAATGACTTGTGTAATCGTCTCAGTCTTGTCCACGTATAAGCTCTGTCCAGTCTGCTCGTACTCTGTCTTGTCCACTTGTGAGCTCTGTCCAGTCTGCTCGTAGTACAGACTGGTCTGGACACACAGCCAGTCCTGGAACTGGGTGATCTTGTGGCCGAGGAAGCTCAAGAACTTCCTGAACTGCTTGTTGTCGCGGCGTGATCTGTTGGGCCTGTTCTCCCACATCTGTATCACGTCGCGCATGGCTCTCAGACTTTCGGCGCCGTGCTCCACGATCGTGTTCGCCATTTTTTTCGCCATTTTAATTTCGGGGTCGCTACGTGTCAATGAAGATTTCTCACTTTCCTCTTCTTCGTTGTTGTTTTTATCAGCCAGTTCAGCGTAGATGCCAAAGTAGGCGTCCAGGATTTGGAAGTAAGTGTCGCCACAGTCCATTTGCAGACTGTTCAAGTTTTTGCAATAGTCGTCCTCGAACTTGGGGTGCACACACAACAGCTTGTCTAAGGCCACCACAGGCTTCACCTCGATGTCTTCGCTGTCGTCATCGCTCGTCGTGTGTGGCGTGTATGTACGATGTAATGTAGCCTCGTTTTTTTGTTCGGGAGTTTCCGCCACTGCCGGAGGTTGTTCGGGAGTTTCCGCCACTGCCGGAGGTTGTTCGGGAGTTTCCGCCACTGCCGGAGGTTGTTCGGGAGTTTCCGCCACTGCCGGAGGTTGTTCGGGAGTTTCAGCCACTGCCGGAGATTGTTCGGCTTCCGGTTGTAGACATGCAGCCTCTGGTACGATAGGAACTTCCGGTGACTCAGACATGATTTGATTTTCTTTATCCTCAAGACTGGACTCAAATGTTTGTCCTATGAGAAAAAATAATAGAATATAAAAAGTGGAATTACTATGAACAGACTTTTTTCTCGGGGCGGGGTCACTTGAAACTTTCGGGAGGGGTCGGACTTAAATTACTGGTTTTGAAGTATACATTTTTGTTATAGGTTTTACTTCGTTCTGAGCTGGTAGAAGAGCCAATAACCATATACCCTATTCAGAGGCGTAGCGAAAGGGGGGGGGGGGGCGGACCGCACCGGGTGACACCATTTAGGGGGGTGACACCAAGGCAAAAAATAGCAAAATATATAGAGAAAAATTTGAAGGGGGGGGTACAAATCGAAAGTTTGAGGGGGGTGCAAATCGAAAATTGGAAAGTTTGTCCCCTAGAAGGGTCGCTATGCCTCTGTGGGGGGGGGAGGTGACACCATAAAGTGCCACACCGGGTGACACCCGACCTAGCTACGCCACTGACCCTATTATACTGGTGGTGTGCAGATCACGCGGTCCAACAACTTGTGTTGAACAAGTGGTGAAGAGTGTAGAGTGTGGAACAAATGACATGAGATGCCGACAGCTGAGGTGTTATAGTGGTGTGGGGAAGAGTGTAGAGTGTGGAACAAATGACATGAGATGCAGACAGCTGAGGTGTTTTAGTGGTGTGGTGAAGAGAGTAGAGTGTGGAACAGACAACTGAGGTGTTATAGTGGTGTGGTGAAGAGAGTAGAGTGTGGAACAGACAACTGAGGTGTTATAGTGGTGTGGTGAAGAGTGTAGAGTGTGGAACAAATGACATAAGATGCAGACAGCTGGAGTCTTATGTGATGTGGTGAAGAGAGTAGAGTGTGGAACAAATGACATAAGATGTAGACAACTGAGGTGTTATAGTTGTGTGGTGAAGAGAGTAGAGTGTGGAACAAATGAGATAAGATGCAGAAAGCTGAGGTGTTATAGTGGTGTGGTGAAGAGAGTATGGAACAGACAGCTGTGGTCTTATAGTTGTGTGGTGAAGAGAGGAGTGTGGAAAATATGACATAAGATGCAGACAGCTGAGGTGTTATAGTGGTGTGGTGAAGAGAGTATGGAACAGACAGCTGTGGTCTTATAGTTGTGTGGTGAAGAGAGGAGTGTGGAAAATATGACATAAGATGCAGACAGCTGAGGTGTTATAGTGGTGTGGTGAAGAGAGTAGAGTGTGGAACAGACAACTGAGGTCTAATAGTGGTGTGGTGAAGAAAGTAGAGTGTGGAACAAATGCCACAAGATGCAGACAGCTGGGGTGTTATAGTGGTGTGGTGAAGAGAGTAGAGCGTGGAACAAATGACATAAGATGCAGACAGCTGGGGTCTTATAGTGGTGTGGGGAAGAGTGTAGAGTGTGGAACAAATGACATAAGATGCAGACAACTGGGGTGTTATGGTGGTGTGGTGAAGAGAGTAGAGTGTTGAACAAATGACACAAGATGCAGACAGCTGGAGTGTTATGGTGGTGTGGTGAAGAGAGTAGAGTGTGGAACAAATGACATAAGATGCAGACAGCTGGGGTGTTATAGTGGTGTGGTGAAGAGAGTAGAGTGTGGAACAAATGACATAAGATGCAGACAACTGGGGTGTTATAGTGGTGTGGGGAAGAGTGTAGAGTGTGAAATAAATGACACAAGATGCAGACAGCTGGGGTGTTATAGTGGTGTGGTGAAGAGAGTAGAGTGTGGAACAAATGACATAAGATGCAGACAGCTGGGGTGTTATAGTGGTGTTGTGAAGAGTGTAGAGTGTGGAACAAATGACATAAGATGCAGACAGCTGGGGTGTTATAGTGGTGTGGTGAAGAGAGTAGAGTGTGGAACAGACAGCTGGGGTCTTATATTGGTGTGGTGAAGAGAGTAGAGTGTGGAACAAATGCCACAAGATGCAGACAGCTGGGGTGTTATTGTGGTGTTGTGAAGAGAGTAGAGTGTGGAACAAATTACATAAGATGCAAATAGCTGAGGTGTTATAGTAATGTGGTGAAGAGAGTAGAGTGTGGAACAAATGACATAAGATGCAGATAGCTGAGGTGTTATAGTGGTGTGGTGAATAGAGTAGAGTGTGGAACAAATGACATAAGATGTAGACAACTGAGGTGTTATAGTTGTGTGGTGAAGAGAGTAGAGTGTGGAACAAATGAGATAAGATG